GGGGCGGGGGTGGGGTGGGGGTAGGGTGGTGGCGGGGTAACCATCCCTGCCAAGGGCCCAGTGGTCAGGTGGCATTACAGCTCCCATCAGTGAGCTGGAGGACGGCTTACTGTTCAGAGGCCAACAGAATGGATACTACCCCTGCCTACCAGACAAGTAATCATTCTTCGGAGAACTTATTAAGATACTTATTATCAAGCTGACAGGCCCATAAATCTAACCCTCAGGTAATCTGGACCTATGCTATCAACTTTTATAACAAAAGCATGCTAAGGGTTTTTCCCCGCTAAATATTTCAAGATCAGAGGGCAGCACTTCTTGCTATGCGATACAGGAGACAAAATAGGCTTCTTGGAGCAGGGAAGTTCCTGCTTTATATTTTGTAGGGGCTCTCCTTGCAAAATTCAAATGAAAAGCTGGTGTTGCTTGCTCTTCCATGACAGGTTACAGCTATGTCTCCAGTTCCATACCACATTGAGAAATGGTAGAATAATTTATTTAAGGCACTCTGCAGACCTACCAGAAGCTTGGCGATGATGTCTTCCTCAGAGCTGTCTTCTTGCAGAGGGCAGATGGTATGGATGAAAGGTAGGAAGGTGTCCGTGTAGTCAAACAGGTAGAGGTACAGCAGGCCGAGTCTGGGGGAACTCTTGAGAGCATACAGCAGGAACAGGGACCTACCCGGGTTCACAGCCTGCAGTGGGTGAGGTAGGTGCAAGGCCACATTACAACCAAAGTGGCCAGTTCCCACCCATGCTCCTTCTGCAGCCTCAAGCCCTTTGCCATCAGCCTTTTTTTTGTGTGGTTTGAATAAACAAAAGAAGAGGCTAAGTAATAAATCTTGGGGCTACATTATATAAAGATCCAATCTCTCTCCAAGGCTGGGGAGGGGAAGATGGATGAGAAGCATACTCCTAGGCACTACTTGTAGAACACAACCTTGTAAAGCAATTGTGTAAAATTTATCAGTCTTAAAAACATTTAATTTTACCAGTCTATTAGTGGGCACTACTCAATAAAAATAACCTGAAATGCATAAGGCTTTATGTACAAATGTTTAGCATCACATTGTACGTAATAGAGAAAAAGTAAAATCGATGACCTAAGTAATGAAGTTACAGTAGATATTTAACTATTGAAAAATGAATATGAGACATTTTGGATAATGTTTATGATAAAATGTTAGGTGAAAAAGAGATGTGTAGTGATCCGATCTCAACAGTGTCCAGTGCCAGGAAAGCAAGGCCTCGTTCAGGGCTGAGATCCCTTTCCTAGAGGAGCATGTCGGTCACACGAGATGTCAGCAAACATTTGTGGAATGAATATATCAACAAAAGGACTATTTCAGTTATGCATAGAAAATTGTCTAGGAGAAAACAGAGCAAAATACAATGTTAAGATTGCATTTTTGAATCTTAGGTGGAATTATGGGCAATTTATTTTCATTTTCCGTACTTTTTAAATTTTGCTGCAATGCATGTGTGTTTATATTTTTCCTGAATATAAAAGTAACTGTAAAATGATTCAACTAACTTGGTGCTTCTAAGCATCAAATGAAATGGGCAAAAGATATGACTGGACACTGCACCAAAGAAAATATAAGGATGGCAAATAAGCTTGTGAAAAGATGCTCAATATTGTTAGTCCTTAGAGAAAAGCAAATTACACCAGTGAAATAATATGACGTTTGGCTGCGCTTTAATAGAACCTCAGGACGGAGGATGTGGGGAGTGGGTGGAGGGGTACAGATGAAATAAGAATGCCCATGAATTGATGCTCATTGATGCTGGGTATGAGTAAACTCTTTCCTCTATTTTTGTATACATCTAAAGTTTTCTATAGTAAAAGATTTTTTAAAAAGGTCCAACTTGTGGAATGAGTGATTCCAGGTCTGGGGCAGGAAAGGTACAGGAGTAACTTGAACACCTTGTCATGTGAGAAAGGAAAGTATCAGACTAATGAGGTCATGTCAAAAGGATTCACTAGCAAGTACATTATAACTCAATTCAAAAGTTAAATTTAAAAAATAGACTCGGAAAATGAGGAGTCTCCTTAATAAAGATGGGACAATTTGAGCATAATTACTGAAATGTATTCAAACACATCACAAATGTGAAAATCCTCAATTAATAATGATCGTAAAGAAACTGGTCACCTTTGGAGGATAATAGGGAGCCAAATCATTATTCTGAATCTGGTAAATAAAGGGAAAGAATCAAGCACTCAAGCACTTAACCTGCCTTTCTGGTATAAACTGTATTTAGGGTAATCAAAATGGTTGTTGAGGGAAATTTTTTTTCTTTTTTTTAGATGTAGTTCAGCTAACGAATGAGGAAGAAATTACAGAATTACAATATCACCATTTTGCAACCCCTGATGAACTAACGGATCCAAAAATCAGTGATCATAGTGGCTGCAACCATCAGAAGAAGACAAGTGTACATCACGAGCCTCTTCATGAAAGGAAACACCCATGAGGTAATCTTGCCAACATACCACACTGAAACCAAAGCAAGTTTCTAGATCTAACTACTAGATTACAGGATATGCAGGGGACAAAGGGACCTGCTGGGTGACACCACAGAGAATCAGCAAAATTCAAGATGTGGGTAAACTACAGGAAAAAATGATCTGGTTTCTTCAATAAATGCAGGGTAACAAAAAGAAGGAGGGAGAATTTATAGATGAAAAGAGACTTAGGATAATAAAACAAAGTAAAGTAAAATAAAAATAAAAATAAAATTAAAAAGACACTTAGGAGACATAGCAACCAAATGGGGACCCTGTTTGGATGCTAGTTAGAACAAATCAACTAAAAAAAAAAGAGATGGGGGATTTTTAAATACTGACAAGTTATTTGACAATATCAGAGAATTACTATTAATTTGGAGGATGTTCTGTCTTTTCAAACAAGTATTTACTTTTTAAAGATTCACACTGAGATATTTACTATGAAAAATTAGGTATCTCAAATTTTCAAAATAATCAGGGAGGGAGTAGATGAGCGTATTGTTGAAATAAACATGGCCCTAAGTTGCTGTCTCTGGGATGGGTAGATGGCAGATTTTTTTCCTGCTTTTGTATATGTTTGAAATTTTCCAAACTAATAGTTTTTTTAAAAAAAATCTAAGTTCTAAAAATATCTTTGTGCCCTAACTTAGGTGAGACAGATATATGTGGGAGCAGCTATTCATTCTAAAGCAGTGTCTACCGATTTTTTTCATTATCACTCCTTAAGGAGACTTTTAAAAACATTTTTTCGTAATTCCTCTCCACTCCAATGAAATATCAATACCACAAATAATGCTGTGTGTCTGTTTATATACTGTGGTCTTTTGGAGGGCCACAAATCTTTATAGTAGCTAAGACTTTTTCACCCCCCAAGAACCAATGGCCTTGTGGTGATACTGCTCCCACTGAGTTTGATATTCTAAAGGAACAAAGGTCCCAGAAAAAAAGTCTGACTGCATCCAGCCACATCATAGTACTAACCATGAGGAAGTAGATGACCAAGTTATATATTTGTAGGTCTGGAGTCAGCTGGATCAAAATATTCCAACTCTTGGCTACTTCCGATCAGATAAAGAGGAGAAGCCAACCACCCAGGGAGGTTTATGACCACAGCACTACAGCGGGGAGCTGTCTTTCTCATGTCTATTGAGAATAGTGGCATTCAGGAGGCCCTGCACTAGACACTAGGGCTGGAGAGGGACTCTTAATCGTCAAATGGCCACCCTTGAGAGGGGCTGGTAACAGATCTCAAGGAACAGGCTAAGATTCTGCTTGCTTTTATACCAGGACCAGAATCATGTTCCCTCCCATTCACTCTGGTTAATATTAAGATACTATTTCATATTATAAATAGAGGGTAATTGTTTGGATATATGACCCAAAAATGTTCCCCCAGATATTAAAACCCACCATAGGATTAATATTGGCTATGAAAAGAGTCTGACCGTATTAACAAAACTAATCATTTATATATATAAAAAAAGTAGGGATTTTTAAAATTAAAAAACAGTAAGAAAAACAACATACTTTCTACTTAGAAACTCCATGCCCATTCTTCAAATTTTTTGAGACCAGTGTTTCTTTAGTTTTAAAGTAATACAAGTATATAATAAACATATTTTTTCCCCAATGGTACAAAAATGTGTTAAGTGATATACTATTCTCCCTCCCATCCAACTCTCAATCCCCAGATGAAAACATAATTTTAAGTTTGTGTCCTCCTCAAAATTTTCTATGTATCTGCAAACATATACATACATACGTACATACAAATGTGTGTATTTTCCAATATGCTTTATCTTCAGTTAACAACACAATGTGGGCATCCTTCCTTATTAGCATCCCCAGAATCACCTCCTTTTGTAATGATTACACATATGGATGTGCCATATTTATTTCACCTGTTCCTAATAACGGGCACTCAGGTTGTTTTCCATGTGCTGCTACTACCAACGATGCTGTGGTGAACACCTTGTTCAAAGACTCAAACATTCAGTTCTCACAATAACTCTGAGGTCACTCACTGAGGAGAAATAGGCACCGCAAAGCCTGGGTACTTGCTGCTGTTCCCACAGCCAGTGTGTCCTGGAGGAGCCCCGGCAGTCAGGCTCCCAGGCCCTGCTCTTCATCACGGTGCTATGTTGCCTGTGCTCTAAATGCAGAACGAAGAGTAGGTGGGGTTTAAAGTTTTATAGTTATTGACAAATTGCTCTCCAAAGAGATGTATGATCTGCAAAACATGAGTGCCTCTTTCCTCGTATTTTAAATGTTTTCATCCTTGACAATATTATAGGTGAAAATATGCCATTTGGTTGTTTTAATTTGCACTACTTGAATTTTGAGTGGGCATTCCCGCCCCCATAAACTTACTGGTTATTTATATTTATTTATTTTACTCCATGATGTCTTTTTTAGGTATAAGTTGGAATATTCCAAATATTCTATAACAAATAAAAAATAGAGTATTCGTTTTACAGTACAGTATTTGCAAATTCCTCTCTGTGAAGGAGAACCAATAGGTGCAGTCATGTTGAGCAATTTACCAATATCTAGTCAAGTCGAAGATGTGCATTATTTAGGACCTCATAACCCTATTCAAGAAACTCTTATATGTGAGCGTGGGCACTTCCAAAAAAAAATGTCCACAGCAGCACGATTTCTAACAGCAAAAATGGAAACAACCTCAGTGTTCATCAACAAGAAAAGGCATAAACTGCCATGTCCCCGTGCAATGTGAATACTGCACACAAGAGAAAAAGAGTGGACTGGTGCCGCAGAGATAAAGGCTACTACTTGCAGAGGATAGGCTCAGTTCGTGCCTCTTATGTTAAGGTTGAAAACTTATAGAACAATGCTCCTAGTGCTTGCGGATACGTATCCGTAATTCAGATAGAAAACAGGCCTGGGAAGGATGCGCAGCCCAGCTGCAGGAGCGTGGACCTCTAGACAGGGTAAGGAGGCGGGGGCTTCAATCATGTCTGTGATGTTTTCTTAGGTAGTGGGCATGCAGATGATTGCTAGATTGTTTTCTATACTTTTTTCAATTAAAAACATAAAGAGTTCACCTTATATTCCCAGAGATTTTGGGGGGGCTTCACGCCTAGTGCTTTGACACGCTCCAGTTCCATGAGGATGGCTCTTCTGTGGCTGCCATTTTCTATGGTGTATGGCGCCCTTGCAAATTCTTCCTCTGTTAAAGTTAAAAGCAATCTGTGGTGGGGGAGGGGACAGAAGGTTTCTTTTGAGATTATATACCGGAAGCAAATTTTCCACAGTTAAGAGTTCCATCTTATAACACAAATACTTTAACCTTGAAGTAGGTTACTTCATATATGAAATAATATTAATGATAGCAAACAATTGACTACTTACTATTTGCCAGTGACTTTCTGAAAATACTTTCATAAATCATCACTGATCCATTTAACAATACTATAGGTGGCCTTATGCCCATTTTGTGGATGAGAAAACTGGCTTAGAAAAATAAAGTGACTCACCCAAGGCACACCCAGGTCTGCTCTGCTCCTAACCTTTGATCTTTCAGCTATACACTCTGACCTCTCACACATTACTCTATTTTTTTAAGTGTGTGCGTCTAGAAAAAAAATTGGAAAGAAATCCAGTAAAACATTATGACATTAAGAGTAGCTGTTTCAGGGTAGTCATTTAATAAAAATAATTGTAGGTCTCTTCTGTTCCCTTTCATCAGAAAACTATCAGAAAACACAAATCCACTTCCACAGTGACTCGTTAAAAACATCCCTGTGCACTGACAGATGGAGACCACGCAAGCATGGCTGGAGGAGTATACAATGAAGTCCCTTTGTGGGTAATTTAGTAATATTTATTAAAGTGGTAAAGAAATATTCCCTTTTACCCAGAAAAACCTATCCCCTGGAAGGAAGATAGTTATGCAAAGATATACTGTATTAACTAGGTAGAGAATTTTTTTAAACCACAATTCTGGAGTGTGTGTGAGTGGTTGTGTGTATGAGTGGCTCTGTATGTGCACATGTGCTAATTCTTGCAAAAAACAGTTTAAGTGGGAGCATTCTGTTTCCCCAAAGGAGAGTCAAATGTTGAAAGCTCAGTTCAGTGGGAAAAGCGACTGGGGTGGCAGGTGGGGCAGCCAGGCAGACTGGCAGTGAGTGGGCTCTGAGTCTGAAACAAGCGGAGAGGAGAGAACGTACTCTCAGCACTGCATGGTGTTCTAAGTAACATCTCTGCAGTCCCTCCAAGGACAGGAGGTCCTCTGGAGGGTGCAGGGGCTTGGTGACGGGCAGAAGCAGGCCTCCCCGGAGCCCAGGGATTAGTGAGTTCCTCATACCAATGAGTTCCTTCAGGCACTTGCTGCAATTTTGTATGGAACTGTGTCTAGAAGAGGAAAAAGGAAACAACCCGAATATGTATTCATGGAGATCAATTAAATGGACTTTACCATGTATACATACATAAGTATATAAAACAGATCTGCTGTGTACAACCGTATTTTCAGTTTAAATAAATAATGTACATTTCTATGTGTATGTCTGTATAAACATTGAAAAAAATCTGAAAAGGTGTCCAGCAAGATGATAACACTGGTTTCTCTGAAGAGTAGTATTACCAGGGTATTTCACTTTTACTATCCTTTAGTTCTATAGTACTTTTTAAATAAATAATAAATGTTACTTTTATAATCAGGAAGCAATAAATTAAAATGTCACTGACATAAAATGGTATGGTTTCTTTGGAAAATAGTTTGACAGTTCTTTGGAAAGTTAAACATAGAGTTACTACATGACCCAGCAATTCCACTGCAATGGATTACTGAAAATATATGTCCACACAAAAACTTGGTATACAAATGATCATAGCAGCATTGCTCATAAGAGCCCCCAAATGGAATTAACCCAAACGTCCATCAACTGAATAATGGATAAATAAAATGTGGTGTAGCCACAGAATGAAATATTATTCAGCCATTAAAATGAATGAAGCACTGATACATGCTACAACTTGAATGAACCTTGAAAACATGATGCTAAATGAAAAAGCCAGACACACAAGCTCACACATATTGTATGATTCCATTTATATGAAATACTCTGAATAGGCAAATTCATAGAGACAGAAAGTAGAATGGTGGTGCCCGAGGCTGAGGGAGGAGAAAAAATGAGGACTGACTGCTAAAGAGTAAGAGCTTTCTTTTCGGGGATGATAAAATGTTCTAAAACTAGATTGTGATGACACTGCACATATCTGAGAGTATAATAAAAACCAGTGACTGCACACTTTCAAAGGGTGAATTTTCTGGCATGTGGATTATCTCAATAAAACTGTTTAAAAAATGTCTGTGATGTATCAAAGATTTTGCTCCTCACCTTCCATTTACTCTTTCAGATAAAAACCTGTCTCTGTAGAGAGAGGCCCAAGGGCCCAGCTGCTCCAGCCAGAGGACAACTTCTTCCGCTGTCCATTTGGCCACAGCTTTGTGGACCAGGAGGTCATGTTCAGATTCTCTGCTGCTCCAGTGATACACGAGCAGGACCACCTGGGGAAAAGTGACAGGGACCTTAAAGACACAGAAAGGTCCGAGATGCCAGTTTCTAAATATGTGAATGTGGGCAGGGAAGGGAAGAGGCTGAGCTTGAAGGGAATGGAGCCAAGTCTGTACACAGAAGCAGGGCAACGCCACTCCCAGAGAACTGGAGAGCAGGCTCTTGTCTGCTGACTGCGGGGCCCTGAGGGAACAGAGACAGGAGCAAGACTCACTGCCGGACACCTAGGAGCACTGCGCCCTTGACCCCAGCAACCTGGCCAACAGATCTCATGTCTCTTTTCTATTGGAAAATTTTTAACATTTAGATTTCTGTAGCGTGGAACTTAAAAAGGAAACAGTCTCTACATTGGAAGTTAGTAAAGTGCTGTGCTTAAGACTCTGCCATCAAGGCAGACATGGTCCCGAATTCCAGTTCTAACACCTTTTTGCACATGTTTCCTTAACTCTAAAATGGAAATAACAATGGTGCCTATTGCACAGCTTATGAAGAAGATAAAATGGGATAAAGCTAACTAACATTTACAGGGCTCTGAATATTATGTTCTCTACTTGAGTAACATCCCCAAAGAATCATACAACCCAGCAGATTTCAGTGTGTGCAGTGAATTACCACATGCAGTTATGTCGTTTAGGTGTGTTTCAACAAAATTGACTTCAGTGGAAACCATGAGAGTATGAGGGATAGAGAAAGAGCAATAAACTTACTGCCACACCAGTTAAAGCTGTGAGTACTCCAGAAAAGAATCCCCCTCCTCTCTGCTGATTCACTCGGCCTGTGTTGGGAGCTACAGGAATCTGATCATTTCCATATTTCTGAAAGGCTGCAAGACTCTGGACTATGTCATTATTCTGTTGAATGTCTTCAAATCGCATTCTAATGGCATCAGGAAATAATTTTTCAATGGCATCCCTATAGAGAACAGAAAAAAATCACAAGAGAGTTGTTTAACTGAATTCACTTACAATGTTTAAAGGACCGAATAAAACTAATAGTCAACATTTAATAATATACAAGTACTACAGAAGGATGGCCCTGCTGGTAACAGCAAAAAGTGAGAAACAACCTACATGTCCCCTGTTAGGTTAACAGCTAAATAAAACATGTTATATTCATACAATTAAATACCACGTAGTTTTAAACATGAATTTACTATCACTGTCTATCAAAGTGGAGAAATTTAAGACATACATATTGTTGAATGAAAATAGTAAACTTTAGAACCATACAGATAGAACACCACTCATGCGAGAACATGTTTGCATTTCCTACTAGGACCTATGTGTATAAAAATATATTTTTTAAACCTGAAAAAAAAATCACAACTGAAAAAAAAGTCATAACTGATGTTACCATGGGGAAAAGGAAGGATTCTAAGATGGGTGAGGGGCCAAAGGGGTCTGTAGCTTTATCAGTAACATTCCACTATTTTAAAAAGAATGTAAACAAATGAATATATATATGTATTGCTTACATTACTAAAAATTCATAAAAAGGAAAAAGTTCAGTAGTAAGAGAAAGACCAACCATCAGGTCATACTGAAGGGTTCTTTTCATTTTCAGTTACACACAGAGAACCCTCCTTCAATTTAAGATTATGATAACAGTAAGAAACACTTCAGTTTCTTCAATTAAAACAAGACTGACAGGTAAGAGCAAAGCATTTGTGATTACATCTCCTGTGGAAAAGAGAATGTTGGGTTAATGTTTCATGTAACTTTCTGATACCCTGTTGATATCAAGAGAACAGAAGATCAGGAATTTAGCCTCAAAAACCTCACAATAAGCAACATTCCCAAAGAGTTTTGAACATTACAAATATTATGAATGGAATAATCTGCTATCTGAAAAGTCTTGCCATTTCTTGTGTGATGCTATGCATAAGAACCTACCTCTATTAATGTGATAACTGCAACAGAGTTTAGTCAAAGGTTATGAAAATCAGCATTAAATCAGCTATCGAGAATTGTACAGTTGTATCATTTTCTCTATTAGACCTAGAGTGTTCTCAGTGGATACAAATCAGTAAAAAGTTTATTCTATGGCAAAGGATTAAAAGCAATGGTCTGATAACCAGAATTTCTTTCATTCATTTATAATAAACAATAAACAAATCACAGTCACCTATGAGGAAGGGAGTCTGGATTTTCAGGTCCTTGAGCTCCCTGATTCACATTCCAGCAGATCTAGCCTCCGGCCTTTCAAACATGGCTGCACCATTAAGAGGGACCACACTGAACAAGTTGTATGTGCTACCAAGACAGACTGAACATTACCTGAGGAGAATATTAACTTTGGGGAAACCTTCCCATTTTTCTCTGCATTCCGGACACTCTGTTTTCTTTGAAGAAGCCCACCACAAAGCTAGGCAGTGCCGGCAGAAGCTGTGCCCACAGTTCAAGGTGGTGGGGTTAATCAGGATGTCGTAACAGCAATGGCAAGAAAATTCGCTAACAGAAATCTGAGGGCTGATGCTCTTGAGAGGGTCATCTTTCTTAAGGGTCATTGTGTTTGGATCATTTTGTTGAGACTCCTCCATCTCTTAGCAAATTCTAGGATCCACGGGCATAGAAAATTTCGGACTTAGAATACTGCTGTAAAGCATCATTAAACCTAGAAAAAAGAGATAGCAACAGAAATAAGGCAAATAGCTTAGTAGGTATTTGAGATTACAGCCATTCTATTAAAGCTGATTTTTAAATGTAACAAATATGATTTCTAAAAATTCACATTCCAAAAACCAGATAAATATTACTAAATTTCTTTCTAGCCTATTTGTCATATTTTGAAAATTAGGTAAAGCAAAATAGTATAGTGGAAAGTTCAATAGACTTGGGATGCAGTGTGGAGAATTCTAGATCTTTTTCATGAACTTCTTCTGAAAATGTAATTTTTCTAGCTTCAGTTTCTTCAATTAAATTTCTAAAATCCTTTTGATGTATGTGATTTTCAATATACCAGCTTCCTGTAAAATGTTTGGAGTTGACAGTAACATACGTATTTCAAGTAAATAACACATTTTATCCAAACAAATCTGATTTCCCATAAGGTATTTTACAAAAATTTGATTTTAGGGGTTGTCACAGGAGCAGTTCTAGGACATGACCGAAGCCTTGTTTTCTAGGTGCCCTGTGCCAGTCAACCTCCCTCGGCTCAGTGTTCCCCTCTCTCCCATATTAACTCAAACATGCTTCTCATGTCCTCTGGATGTGGCCAATTTGGTGCCGCAGAAACATGCTACTGTCACTAATATGCAAATGGCAAAGGGCTGTTCTCTTCTTATTCTCATCTGGGCCTTAGGGACTTCTTCACTGCGAGGCAGTATGATGGAAAATACCATGGAGTTCGAATCTCCACTCCCCAACTCACTAGTTCTGTGACTGTTCATAAGTTACTTGAGCTCTCTGGGCCTTGTTTCCTCACTGTGAAATGGTGATAACAGCATAAAACACTTCCAGGCTGCTTGTGAGGATTAGAGACAGTGAAAGTAAAGTGGTAAGGATGGTGTGTGGTGTAAAACAGGGGCTAAGAAATGACTATTCATACTATTCCCAGGATCAGAGTAAAGGCACTGGTGGGTAAGAGTTTCTCAGACTTGCTATTGTGAAGGGAAAAAGAGTAAATCACTCTCTATCACCCACGCTGGTAACACAGTGAACAGCTAACAGTTTACGCTTTGTAGGCACAGTGGTTAAGAACACCGGTCTCAGGGCTGGGCTGCCTGGGTTCTTCCCCACCCCAGCCCTTTGCCAGCTGTGGGGTCCAGACCTCTTTTGAGTCTCAGCTTTCTCAGGTATGAATGGGGGTGGTAATAATATTTCCCTCAATTGCGAGGGTTTTGTTTAAGAGTCCAAGAATTTTTATGATCAGTTGAAGAGCAGAAGAGTCCATATTAACCCCCAAATATGGGTCACTCTTCATATTTGTATCACTGACTCAATCTATTTTTTAAATAATAGATTATAGATTATTGAGTTATTTCCATTAAAGAATTCAGTTAACATTCAATATTATATTCAAAGTTATACCAATATTTGCTTCAGGTGTCCATTGGGAGATTTTTAGAATGGAATAAAAGGATGCAAGCAAAGTGCCTAGTACCGATCCTGGCATATGGTAAGTAAACCATAAATGGTAACAATTACCTGGTTTCCAAAAGTACTGATAAGAGAATTTTATCACCTTTTATAGGGTGAAAAATTTTACACAGCACATGTTAACACTCTATTTTAAACAAGCAAATCTATAAACAAAGACTAGAAGAAAATACAATAAAGTATTAGTAGTGGCTGTGTTGTTAGGAGAAGGTCATGATTGTTCTGGTTGTGGTTTTCTGTATTTACCAAGTTGTTCTTAAGGAAGATGTATGATATTATAATTGTAAAATACATATATAAAATTGTAAAAAATATATCATATTCCTTTTGGCCTAACATCAATGGAAGATTTTTCCACTCAGAATATACACAACTAAATTTTATAGTCAGTATAAAAGTGGAATAGAGATTCCTCATCCAGTACTAATTAAAGATAGATATAAATTTAAAAGATTAAACATAAAATAAGTTAAAAATTTTAATATGTATTTAAAAGTTATTCACAATAACAGATCATAATAAAGAAGGGAACCACCTTCTGCAGGCCCATTAAAAACTTCTTTTTGGAAGAAGGACTCTAAATAAATGTTCTTAATGACAAATTCTAAATTATTTTTTATAATCATATTTGTTCATTCTATGTTTAAGAACATTTAAAAAATTTCTAAGTGCTTTCCTTTGAGCAATCTCTTCAAATTGCTTAAGGAATTGGGAGATGTTATATAGGTTTTTGGAGAAAGGAATCATTCTGATAAAGAAATTCCTTTATTTGGCTAATAGTGATTAAAGAACTACCATGTGGAGAGTATTATCCAAGGAAGTAATAATTGAACAATTAGTATTTATTGAACATCCCCTATGAGCCTAGACACTGGGCAGGCCCTTTAGATATGTTCATCACCACATCTTGATTGAGTCAGAGGAGTGAGGGCTGTGTAAGGGGTCAGAAAAGATGGGTCTAACTTAGGTGCTGCTCTCAGTGTTTTCATGCCCCGTTAATGACAAATGGGCTGATGGGAGCACATAAAGGTTTCAGAGGCAATGAGATCAGCAAATCTGTGCTTGAAGTTGATAAATCTCATCCAAAAGGAGGGCGTAGGCTGGGAGAAGTTATAAGTGAGTGTTACACCCTCTGGGACTAAGGTGGCAAAAACGAAAATGGCAAAGAAATGAAAGGTGACAAAGAAAACGATCAAGCAATCCAAGATATGTTTTAAAAAATAATTCATGGGCTTTGGTGACTAGAGAAAAAGATCAGAGATGCTGGCTAGGTTTCAGAATTAGGGAAGGAGAACAATACATCTGATAGAAATGGGTCACTGTAAACAAATGGAGCCAATCTCGAAAGGTTAGTTGAATTTTAGGAAAGTTGAATTTGAGGTGATGACAAGACTTCCAAGTATAACTATCCAGTGAGCAGCTAGAGATGCAAAGCTGTAGATGGGAGTTAAAAATGAAGCCAAGTCTATGGATTTCCGAGTCATTTGTAGAGAAACAATAATGTACATCCAAGTTAACTTCTCACAAATTAGCTTTTTAAAATGAGAACATACCTCCCCCCCGCCACACCCCCCTCACAAAGAACAACAGAACAATAAAACTAGAATGCACCACTAGTTCCTGGCTTACTGGATCTGAAAGCTTATTTTTCATGAGAGAAGACAAACCACACACTAACATCAAAAGTGTATTTTATAAGTCGTATTTTGAAAGGCTGAGATGGCCACTAACTCTGTTTTATAATTGTCTTTAACAAACCAGAAACTGCATGGACTTTGATTACATCTTAGGAATTTTGCTAGTTTTATTTTGCTCTAAATTCAAAATGTGAAAGCGAACAGAGAAAGAATACACATCTTAAATTTAGTTGATCTTTTCTGCTATTTGTCTGTATGTATTTGGGTTATTTCCATTAAAGAACTCAGTGCTTTTAGAAGATGAAACTGCCTCTTCAGTGATAAAATCTAGCTCAGACACTTAAGTTTCAAGCTGTGGTGTTCTGACTTGGGTAAGCACACCTTTCTGCACTGGCAATGATTAAAGGCCTCTTTGAGGATAAGGCCCAGTGTTCCTGAGGATATTTACAGCTGTTCTCTACAAACTTGGCACACTCATCAGCATGTGGGGCTGTGAGAAGATTCGCTGGCTCTTTCTGAGCTCCTTCACAAGTAAGCAGGCATTAGAATACTGCTGAAGCCTCCTGGTCTTTCCTCCTTGTCTCAAAAGCCTCAGGGAAGGCTGGGGGAACTTGGTCAAAATTGGGGCAAGGAGAGTCACTCCATTCTCACCACCAGTGCCCTGTTCACATGGATATACTGTGGTTTATGTTTGTGTACTCTGAGAAAGGAAATGCCTACTAAGAAGGGCTCCTGGTAGCTAACTGGGCTCAAATTTTAAAAATATAGCCTAGCAGCCACTTCTATACAGGAGCCTCTCATGCAAACCGCTTCAGGTAGAAGCCTGCGCTAAGCTGCCTGCCTCCTGCACTGAACTACCTTTTTGCATATGTGTCTGCCACCCGAGCCAGCCTTTATCAAGTGGGATCCTATTTCAACCAATAGGACTGAGACGTTCCCCATCCTATTGGAGCTGTGCAGCTATAATCCTATCAGCATCTTCACCGACCAATCAGTGGCTCCATTGACCAATCAGGACAGTGCCTTTTGGACCAACCAAACTGTGAGGATATGGAGTCCTCATTTGTATGAGGATGAACCAATCGAGGACCAGGGGACAGAGACCTCTATGTAAGTCAGCCACCCTCCAGCTCAGAGAATGCACTTTCTCTTTCCACCAAAGACTGTTTCCCTGGCTGGAGCTGAAACACTGAAAAGGTCTCACCAGAGCATAATGGAGCAGAGCGGTGCAGCATGGTGGACTGAACCAGACCAGAGCAGAACTGTCTAGCGGGCAGCAGTGCTGTTCCACAGCTACGCTGCTTCGTAACTGAGCTGTAACACTACCAAGCTTTTCCACAGTCATGCTGTTCTCACAGCAGTGCTGTATCACAATGGAGCTATTCGCACTGAATAAAACTTCCTTCTTCACCACCAAATTGGGGGTTCCTGATTGTGTTGAATTGGCTTCAATGACCATCGGTTGACATGTTTAATAATCCATGAAATTACAAATGTTAATTATCTAGTTCAAAACCAATGCGAAGAATGCCTGAATTTGGAAGTCTACAAAACTGCAGAGACAAGTTTAAAACAACAGGCTGAACACCACAGAATTGAAGAGTACAGCAAAACCTCTGGGAACTGTGTGAGTTCTGAAAAAAAGTTAGGTCTTCAATTGATGTCCGTAGAGGTGCTTCAGGAGGTCTATGCATATTATGAAATTATATGCTAAACTTGAGTTTGTGCATATGAGTGTGTAATATTAGCATTTTCCTGAAGGAAATCTCCAGTTTTTATTAGACTCTCAAAGGGAATCAAGACCCAAATAAGGTTAAGAACTGTTTTTCTACTGGGATAAAGGCTTTCTTGATGTACTACACCCCTCTGCTTCCTAGAGTGCTTCAAGGGATGCAGGTGAGCCTCCCCAGAGTGATGCAGCGTTATCCTTGTAAACACCCATCCCCCGTGTCCAGGGACAATCTCAACACCGGCAGCCACCACTGCGCTGTGGCAGTATCCGGCCTGCAAGCAGGCTTTCTTTCACATGGCCTTTCTCTTCCTCTGCCCCCTCTTCTTTCTTTTCTCTTTCTTTCTTCTTTCTTTTCCTTCTTTTTTCTTTTGAATTTGGTGCCAGTATTCTTAAAAATCACGTTTCACATAAAAACCTAGTTTCCTGGCTTCTACCGAAAAAACTCAGAAGATCTGGCAACAGTGAGCTGTCATCATTTCACGTGACAAGAGTCAGCTTAAGCTGAGTAACTCAGTAGCTACCTTCTTCAGGGCAAGATGGGCTTTAGTATGCTACAGTCCTCACCCACCTGGTTTCCTCATTTCTGTTATTTGCCTGGCCCCTGGGGTTATTTGAGTTTTCTTGCCCTGTCCCATAAGATAATGCCTTCAGAGTCTATTGATGAGTGATGTTTTTAGGTTAACTGGCCTTAGGCTTTTTGAGTTGCGTCAGTTTACAGTTTCCTGTTTCTTGATTTGCTGTCAGGTTGTTACTTACCATTGTTGAGAAAGTAACTGCCTATGAGGTGTTGTACAACTTTTTAAATTACTGCTTCTATTCTGCTTTAGACTCAGATGCCAGAGATAGAACCCTGTTCAGCAGATTCTGTGTGTGAAAGGCTCTGGGTGAACCTGAAGCAGGGATTGAATCTAAAAATTCTAAGTTGGCTTTATTGTCATCATATGCCCAGAGACCTAGGTCCAAATGAATACTGTGAGAGTCTGTGGGCTTGTCTATGAATCAAATATTTCGTACAAGGCCTTTAAGACACTTATTTTAATTTTTTGTAGGTATTATTTACTTCCTGATTCTGAGAGACAGTATAATGTTCCTCGGTTTTAAAATCAGAAGACAGGTTCCAAGTTCCAGCTCCACTCTTTATGAGCCATGAGATCATGGAGAAATTACTCATTCCCTCCAAGTCTCACATTAGTATATGCAAGGAATGAGGTAACTACTACCCATCTCACAGGGCTATCATGAGCATTAAGAGGATACATGTAGTAGGCACTGGCAATAGGAAGTGTTCAGTAAATGTTCCTTCTTCCATATCATGTCCCAGATGGGTGACACTTCCCAATCCATACAAGTGAGGAATCCCTAAAGTTCTTGTTCTCATGCCCATGCCATGTAATCAACAACCTGTTCCAACATCTCACCAATGTAACTTTTAATACACCAGAGAGAGATTACTTTCTGAGGAATACACCATCTCTAAAATTTAAGTGTCAAGAAATGGCATAAAATCTTAGAAAGCATTAATATATGAAATATGACATGAATACACATATATGAATAACCTGTATAGTTGGCACAACTGATAGGAAATAATTACCGTCTCCAAGGACTTGGGCAATTCTAAGATATCTATCACCACAACCTCTTTGTTTTTCCAATAAAATACGTGACATATATAGTTATCTGAAAAAATCTATGAAGAAAAGATGAGGGCCAGACACAATCTCCCAATAATTAATTCTGTGTAACTAAAGGACCTGGAATTAACCTGTCTACTTCTCCCTTGCAATCAAAGTTGTTTGTCTCACTTGGTTAAGTACTTACCTATGGATTTAACCAGAGAGCTACTACCTGGGAGGAGGTGGTGGCACTGCTGGTACCTGTTTGATCCTTTAGTCACCCAACTAACATTTAAGAAAGTCAGTTAATACAATAATTTTTACTGAGTTTATCAAAGAAGAATGCATGAATTCTGACTTTAGGTTAAGAATTTTTATATCTTAGCTTATTAAGATCTCATTATGTAATGATCGTTAACTCTTTAGAAATCATAATCTTCAAACTGCTTTGTTCAGTGGTATATAATTATGGTTCTACCTCTTCATTCAAAAAGACATTTATTGTGACTGGTATATAGCTAATGTTTTTGGAATAAGCCTTTGAAGGGCTAATTCATTGGGATTCCAGCCTGAAAAATATCTCAACCATTTCTTAGCAAAGATGTTTACAAAGAATAAAAAGGTTTTTTGGCTTTATATGGACCTCTACTTAGGCTATTTCTTCTCCTTACAAAAGAGAATAACAATTGCTAATATTTACTGAGCTCGTATAATGTGAAAAGCACAATTCTATGGGAGAATTACTACTATCAGTGTGTTTTACAGATGAGAAAATGGAGGCCTACTTAATATAGGACAGAGCCAGGTTCTAATTCCTGGTCTAACTTAAAGCCTGTTCTCATAACATTGCATCATCCCAGTAGCGTAATCAAGAACAGTTATTAGTTCAATGGCTGATTTGCTCCTTTATCATCTAGGCCACATCATAGAACAGCTACCACAAAGCTGAGCAATCCGAATGAGAGAGGACAAACTAGAATCTGACGACAGTGTATTTCGGAACATGAACACCAGTGTTAATAGGGTGAGTATGCTGTTCCATGAGATAAATAAGCAGAAACATTCACAATAGAAATGGGGGTGAGGGTGGTTGGAAGCACCCACATTTCTGGCACCCAAGTCCACCTCTGGGGACACCACTATTAATACCAGAGGAGCATTTCCAGGCTCTTACCATATAAATCTTGCTTTCCCACTTGCAAAGACAGATTT